TGGATGGTTATATTTATCCATTCTATTGCTGATGGACATTTGGGTATGACAGAGGCATTATTTTAGTCATGTTTGCAATCCCACCCCATATATGCTCTCTTATTTCTCTACCTGTCCCTCAGATTGTGGCTTCTGGAATTATCCCCTGGACCCTACCTGCTGGACCAGTCCTAACCAGATATGAGTAGGGAGAGTTCTTGAAGGCACAGGCTGTGGCAAGAAGAAGGACAGAGCTTCCACCCCTGGGCCCCTGAAGCCTGCTCCAGGGGCTTCCTCTTGGCCCCGGATGTGGGCAGGGAGGGCTAGGGGATCAAGGGACGTATTACCCAAGACAGGAAACACCACACCCAGGCCTTAAAGAGAGAGATATGGCAGCAGCATGGAATTTGTGCCCAGGATTTGACCTACTGAATCTGCTGAAAAGATAAGTAACAACTGTTCCTGCTTCTGCTCAAAGCCCTAGTGGGGGAACTGAGGGCAAAGCAGGACCTCCAACCACATCCCCCAGAGGGACCCAAGGTTCCAAATCCCACGTGTTTTGTGGGCCTGACCCTCCCCATACGGGCAGAGGCTGGCCCAGCTATTGGTCTCTTGGTTCCCTCTTCTAAACCCTGCAGGATAAAGGCTCTTTCCTTCCCCCTCCTCCTCATCCTGGGGCTTCTGGTGTATGGCAAGTTGCTGTGTCCCAAGGATGAAGCCATCGATGAGAAGATCCAGGATATTATCAGCTCCCTAAGTAAGAAGTTTCACATCCAACCCCAGCAGGGGCCTCAGAGACACCTTGGAGGGAGGCATAGGTGGTGGCTGTGGGGTTGGGGGAACGCGACTGAGTCTTTCTTCTGCCCTATCACCCCTCCTCCCATGTTGGCCCCCACCTTTAGCCCCGAGAATGGGGCCTCAACTTTCTCTAATTGCACCCATACCCAAGGCTTATGGCCTCCTTCAGGAGGTGAAGTGAGTGTTATCTTTGAGGCCACCTTGACGATGACCCTTGGGTCTTGGGTTCCCAGAAAGTTGTTGGGTCATTCTCCTTCATACCCCACAGTGAGGCTTCATCGGGGGTCTGGGTTTGGGTGAGACAGAGACTCCTGTCCCCACCCCACAAACAATCCAGGCCTCCAGCAACTCCCCAGATCAGTGTGGACCCCTGAATCATTATGGCTCAGCCCAAGCCCTGAGCCCTGTCGTCATTCCCTACCCCTTGGAAGAAACCCCAAGGTACAGGCAAAGCCAGGGTCCTGCACAGAAAAGAATCTTTGTGGGACCCGGCTGGTGTGGCTCAGTGGCTGAGCGTCAACTCATGCACCAAGAGGTTGCTGGCCATGTGCACATATAGTGTACAACCCGGTTAACCACCATCACACAGAGACACTATGCTCACAGACACACATGGACACAGGAAGGCACCCTTGAAATACACAGACATGCCCACAGTGGTGGGGACACATACACCCTTGACAGACTCTTGTGTTTCCAACATCAAGTTCTCACCCTAGCCTGGATGACACTTGTCCCAGTCTAGACTCAATGCCCTAAAAGGCAAAGCCCAGCATCCCTGGTAGCACAAATCTAGGTGACTCAGGGTCCAGTTTCCTAAGAATCCTAACCTATTGGTCTTATAATCTAGTCCCTGAGAGATGCTGATTCTAGAACACTTGGTGCCCAGTCTTGAAAGGGACCTCAGACTCAAAAGTCACAGTCCGCAGTAGCATGCTCTAGTGGCTGGAGAAGGGTAAGAGGGTGGGGTCCTGGTTTTCAGGGTATCTTGGACTTTCCTTCCATTGCCACAAACCCTGTGATGGCACAGCCCTGTCTGATCCTGGGAGCCATGAGTTGAGATCACAAACATTCTTGGTGCCTGTGGAGTCCACCCAGACCCCAACCCAGGGATTCCCCTCTTTGGTCCTTCCTCCTAACCCCACTGTGGCCCTGGAGTTGGATTGAGACAACTGAATCAAAAGTGTGTGCAGGACCAGAGGAAGTGAATCTGGTGCCTTGCCCTCTCCCTCACTAATATGTGGGTGGGGACCCGGATATATATGCCTTTGTCTCTGAGTCCCACCCAATTGCCACCCTGAAACTGGACCCCAAGAAAGATCCCCTCAGAGCCCTTAATTCTAGCACAATCATCCTGCTGTCCCAGAGTGCAGACTTGGAGATCATATCTTATGGCTTGTGTGACCTTGGACAGGCAAGTCCCTTACTTTATATTTTTTATTTTTATTATTATTTTTTAATCCTCATTCGAGGATATTTTTTCATTTATCATCAGATAGAGTGGGCAGGAGAGAGAGAGAGGGAAAGAGAGAAACATCGATGTGAGAGACACATTGACTGGTTACCTCCTACACAACCTGACCAAGGCCAGGACGCACCTTAACCGAGGTACATGCCCTTGACCAGAATCAAACCTGTGACTCTTTGGTCCGTGGGCCGATGCTATAACCACTGGGCCAAACTGACCAGGGTGCAAGTCCCATTCTTGAGCCACTATTTCTTTTTTTTTTTAATCCTCACCTGAGGATAGAGTGGGAGGGAGAGAGAGAAAGAGAGAGAGAGAGAGAGACATCGACGTGAAAGGGACACATCAAGTGGCTGCCACCCGCACGACCAACCAGGGCCAGGGACAAACTGCAACTGAGGTACATGCCCTTAGAGGGAACCAAACCCGGGTCTCTCTGGACCGCAGGCGGACGCTCTAACTGCTGAGCCAAACCAGCCAGGGCGAGCCTCTGTTTCTTTATTCACCAACTGCCCAGACCCCTTTGGTAGCCAATATTCTTCCAGTTGCAACTTCCACAGGTCCCACTTCAAGCTAGCTTGAACAAAAGAAGGAATTTTCTGGATTATGTAACTGAGAGGCACAGGGTTAGAACATATTCAGGTATGGCTGAACCCAGGGTCTCAAATGATGTCTCCAGGACTCAATCCCCTCTAGGGTCTGCTTTCCTCAGTGTTGGTTTCATTCTCAAGCAGGTACTCTCCTGTCACAGCTCTAGGCTTACATTTGCCCAGTGTGACAACCCCAATGGAGGGGGGAACAAAAAAGAATACCTTTTTTCTTGGTTAACCCAACAAAAGTCCCAGGTCTGAGTTTCATTGGTTGAATCTGGCTAATTTGCCTGCCCCTGTGCCAAATCTTAGATTCTGATTGGCTGGGCCTGGATCATGTGCCCACCTTAAACCAATCCCTGATTATGACACATTTTCTTTCCTTAAAAAAAAAGAAAAGAAAACTGTTACCCCATGAAAAGGGTTGGTCAGGCAACCAACCCCATGGAACCCTCTCAGGCCACTATGACATGGTTGATGGGTTTCCACTGTCACAGCTGCCTTTTTCTCAACCTGCAGAGGGCTGGAGCCCAGTCTTGGCCCCATTTGAGCCAGGGAAATGTGCAAGTCTGTGGCCCTACCCCCTGCACCCATCCCTCAGATCAGAGCCAGCTCTCCTCTTGTCTGTCTCCTCTGTGGCTATTACATCATAAGGGGGGCAAATTGCTCAATGGCTGACTACCATCAGAAAGAGGAGCTGGCACTAACTACTGCTAAATTGACCTTCCTGGAGCAGACAAGGCTGGCAATAGTTTAGGAAAGAGAATGTTATATCCTCATTAGATCTTGGGGGACTATTCCAAAGCTGTCTTGAATTTAATCTCATATTTTAAACCTAGACCGTAACACTTCTTGCATATTGTCAAAAACTCTTACGTATTTTTTCCAAAGGGAGAAAACTGTAACACTCCAGACCAGTGCTGTCCAACACAGCAGCCATTAAACAGTTGAAATGTGGCCCCTCTGAATTGAAATGCACCATTAAGTGTAAATATACATTTGATTTCGAACACTTAGTGCCTTCCAAAAGGTAAAATATATCAAAAATGTTAAAATAACATCTATACACTGAAGTGATAATGTTTTGGTATATAATGTTAAATAAAATGTTATTAAAATAAAATTTAGCCTGTCTCTTTTTATCTTTTTAATGTGGCTGTTAGAAAATTTTAAATTAAAAATGTGGTTCATAATATATTTCCCTTGGAAGGCACTAGACTTAAAGAGAAAATTCTAGACGTACACAGTAAAATTTCTCTAGACTTAAAGAGAAAATTCCCTATGCACATTGTCTCATTTTAATCCTAGTTTTCAGGGTCAGATAGACATAAGAGTGTAGGCATATGAATGCATGAATATGTATATTTCTCTGGGTAAGCATGTGTGGAAGTATGTGAATAGGTGTGCTATGTGTATACGTGAGCAGATGTGTGATAGGGTATTTGGGACTGTATGTATGCAAGTTGTGTGTATGTGTCTGGGTAGGTGCAGATGTGTAAATGAGAGTGAGTGTGCTTCTGAGTATTTCTTTGAGTGGGGTCTTCAGTTTGAGGGAAAAGTAGTTTGAGGAAATGTGAAGGTGTGGATCTGACCTCAGTTTCAGATGTGGGTTGGAGTTACAGTGGTTAGCACCGTCGCTTCACATTTATTCCTTTCCTACATGGGGCCTTGAAGAAGTAGAATTTCTTGTAGTGGAGTGGAGGTACGGGATTTCGGCTGTGGGAAGGAAGATGTGGGGGACCCAGGAATCCTGCCTCTAAGACTGGCTGCCCCTACCCTAAAAGGTGGGACTCTGAGGTGCCACAGCTTCTCTCTTGAGATAGAGGAGACATGCCCTGGCCAGTTTGGCTCAGTGGTTGAGCGTCAGCCTGCAGACCAGAGAGTCCCAGGTTCAGTTCCTGCTAGGGGCACATATTACAAAAAAAAAAGAGAGAGAGGAGACAGGAGGATGAGGTTCATCCAGGTAGACACACACACACACACCTTCCTATAAAGTTCCTAATCATTTAAAAAACATAATTTTATTAAATATAATTGACATACAACATTACATAAATTTAAGGTATATAAGGTGTTGATTTGATACACTTATGTATTTCAAAATGATGACTGTAGCATTAGCTAATACCTCTATCACAAGTTCCTGACTATTCTGGTCTGCCTCTAGGTCTGTGGGCTTCTCTTCTTGGTTCTTCCTGAGACCTCTGGTCTCCTAAGACCCCTCTTGATCTGGGGGGTGTGAGAATGCCCCAGGGTGGGAGGGTTTTAGATCCCTGAAAAGAGGAGACTGACCTCTCCTTCCTCCCCCTCACCCCAACCCGGAGATTTCTTCATCTGCCGAGACACCTTCCGGTGGCTGGGGATATGTGTGGACAGATTGGCAGACTGGGGACCATGGATGCTGAGGAAATCTACATAAACCAGGAGGCCGGGATGCAGGCAGCAGCCTTCAAAGACAAGCAACGGGAGGCCCCAGTCAATAAAAAAGGTTAGGTACCTCAGCATGGGTTGGGGTAAAGAATGAGGGTTAGAATGGAAGAAGTAAGGAACTGAGAGTAGGGGCTGGAGGGCTTCTTCCCCTTTCCAAAAAGTGTTTGTGTGTGCATGTGTATCTCTCAAACACTCACATACCCTCTTCTCTTAACCAAGAAGCAGATCTTAGTTAACGTTTATCCCCAGAAATGTGTTCTGTGCAGGGGTTTGTTGAACCAAGATTTCTGAGGTCTCCTCCCATCCCCACCCCACCCCAGAGCTCCAGGCAGGTTTCCAAACCCGTCCCACTGACCCACCCACAGGTGTTGATGACCCTGACTATGAAAATATCACCTTGGCCTTCAGAAACCAGGACCAGCCAAAGGGCAATCATTCACCACCCAAGAGTGAGGGTAAGTAGCTGCCTGCCAGCCCACACCCCACAGCCTTTGGAGGGGTCTGTGGGAGGGCATTGCAGGGACAGCAGGCAGCATGTGGAGGTTGGGATCAGCAGCATAGAGAAAGGTGTCAAGACTTATGTGAGACAGTGGTGAGGGTAGCTTTGTAGGTGATGATGATGGCATGGGGTGATTGTGTAGGTGGAAGTATGGTGAAGGTTTGGGTTATGGTGATAGTGAGTAGGTGACAATGTAGTGGATTAGGAAGGAATCACCTAGACAGAGTTGATGAAGGTGCTGTTGATGGGGACAATGCTGGCAACAATCTGCACTAATGTTAATGGCTATTGATGACAGCTACTGCTGACATTGGTGATTGTTGGTGATGGGAATGATAAGTGGGGCATGATGGTGACAGTGTTAGAAACAAGTGCTGGTAGTACAATGTCAGGGTGCTTGTTGGTGGCAGCGTTGTTGATGGTCAAAGCTGCTAATGGTATTGGGAAGAGTGGGTGAGATGACAGAGCTATTGTTGGTGTTGGAATCAGTACTAATAGTCCAAGTGGTGGCGTTGAACCCTGGACATCACCTACCCTGCCTCTGCCCCAGTCCCAGCCTGGTCCAGGCCATCCTCGGACTCTATCCAGGCCTTCCATTGGTTGCACAAAGCCATCATGAGCTTGTACATTCTTCTCACCCTGTTTTCCATCATTCTGTTGGCCTGGGTCCTGGTGAAGAGTGAGTGAACTTTTGGTTTTGGTGTGTGGTGGGGGAGGGGACTGGGGCAGTGTGGAGGGGTCCTCAGGAGCTGGGGAGGCCCAGTGTTTCCACTGTTTCCTTTCCCCCTAGTTCCTCTCCCTTCCCCCAACCCCTGCTCCCAGGGCTGCAGAACTGGGGCACTTCAAGGGTTTTCCAACCTCCCCCATCCTGAACAGATTCTGAGATGTCCCAGGAGCTGCTGGTCTTGAAGAAGGAGATCTGGAATGGTGAGGGGAGGACCTGGGGGAGGCCCAAGGGATCAGGGTGGGGGTAGAGAAAAGAGCAGTGATACAGACATCCCATCCACACCCTCAGTCTCTAGCTCAGCATGTGAGTGCCAAGAAAGGCAAAAACAGGCCTGGAGCAACATCCAGCAGAGCGTCAGTGATGCCAAAAAGCGCATTGACACTGTCAAGAATGATGTCCAGACTGGGAATGAGAAACTGAAGACGCTGTCAGCAGGTGCCTCTGTGGACCTTCACTGCCCAGATTGTGGTGCAGGGGAATCTGGGGGGTGGAGTGGGTGGGGGACAGCCCTCCCAAGGAGCAGGATTTGGAGTGGTGATGGATGTCCTTCCAGTAACTTGCAGGTATTTAAATGCTGCTGGGAACCCCCAGTGCTGGTCTCTGCAGCACCCCAGCCTGGGGGGTTGGGCAAGGACGGGACTTCCAATAAAGGTGGGGGCCTTATCTGAGGCCCCACCCCAGTTTTTTCCTGTCTTCTTCCACCCTAGGCATAAGCCAAATCACGACTCAATTACAGAAAATCTCTGAGCTGCTGCAGAAAATGCCAAATCAATGTAAGTTGGGGCCAGAGGAGGTGGAGCTATCGATTTGGCCTTAGCTTCTCTCCCAGGGGAGATTTGCCTGATCTTGGATCTCCACCTCCCTCCTCCACAGAGCCCACACATAAATAAACAAGAAAACAAGGAAGCCTGGATGACAGGGTGGTACCTCCCAGTAAAGATGAAACATGGGGGCCCCAGCCTGGTCTGAACCTGTTCCTCATCCCCACATATAAAAAATTATATGTCAAAAAAAAAATTATATGTCATGGTGAATGAGTGTTGTGGAGTTGTGTGTGTGCAGGGGTCAACATTTCATGGAGGGCAGTTATTTCACTGTGTTCCACAAGAAGGTGTTTTGGGTGAATATTGAATGTGGGAGTCACAGAGGGTGTGGTATGCACACCTGTGTCTCTGTCCATGTGACATGTATGTCTCATAGTATGTTGTGAGTGTCATGCATATTACAGTGGGTGGCAGTGTCAGCAGGGATCACAAAGGTGTGTTACAGTAAATGTGGGTGTTGGTGACATATGTTACCCATGCATGTTTCACTGTCAGTGTGAATATGCATGAATATCCTGCAATGTTATGTATAAACGTGTCATGGTGAAAGTGTGTGTGAAACACACTATGGGAATGTAACATTGTAATTGTAGGTGTCACAGTGTGTGCCCTGTCACTCCCCGTGCCTGCATGAATAACTGTGTGTCAACGTGACTGTGCCTGATTATGTCACTGAGGGTACTCAGAGCATGTACACACGTGTGTCTGTTTGTTTCTCCATTCACATTTTGTGATTCATGGAAACAAAGGCCAAGGAAAAGAAATGTGGCTTTCAGATCTGTTATTGAGGCGACTGGGGGGCTTTGGGGCGGGTGTGCCAATGCCTGGACTTGGGGAATGGGTAAAGTCACACAGTGAACAGATGGACGTTATTCCAGAAACGCTGGGGACACGAGGGTGTGTGAGGACGATGTCCCGAGTGGGTCCCTGTGTCCATGAACATGTACCCACGTAGTAACTGAGTCCCTGTGCCCTTGAGTTTGTGCCCATGAGGGTTTGTGGCCTGAGATGTACATGTGTACACATGTGCACCTGAAACAGAGATGTGTGCCCATCATCAAACGTGTGCCCCTGAGCATGTGACCATTGATGCTACTGTCTCCCTGAGTGTGGACAAACCAAAGCCAGCTAGAGCCCAGGCCGCGGGACCGCACTCCTGGGTCGAGCTCCACGGACACACAGGCCCCCTAGCGGTAGGTCTTTGGAATCACTGCGCGTGCGCCGAGCCCGCACGCCTGCCCACCGCAGCACCTGCGCACATTGGGCCATTTACGGCACCGTAAAGCAGCTCGGCCGAGCTGAGGGCCGCAGTTCCCGGTGAGACCTTGCCCGCCCGCACCCCTTGCCTGCACCTGATCTAATCGGCTTCCCGACTCTTCTCTGCGGACCTATGGGTCCTGGGCAGGGTCTCGGCGTCCGCGATCGCTGGACCGCCCACTCTGGCCCACCCAGGAGGACCGCAAGGAGGGGTGGGCTCCTCCTCGGTCCCTCTGCCCGCTCCATGCCGGGGATCTTCGGGCCCTGGCCTTCCCGCGGTTTGGCTCGTTACCTCCATCTCAGCCCAATAGAGGGGTCTCAACACAACCCATCCCGTCTCGCGTGCTAGGCCCTCTCCATGTAGGCGGCTGCTCACCTGCATGTGAAGAGGGGTGTCCTGGAGGCCCTGGGATCCTGCTGGTCTTCCCATTCCCCATGTAGACTTCTTGGGGGCCGACTCAGCATCCCCAGACCCCTCCGGCCTCTAGCCCGGTTCCTGTCTGGGGGCTGGGTTCTCAGTACCCCCTTCCGACCCCACCCTGGGCGGCTTCACACCTGAGTGGGCGAGGGTGGAGAAGAGAGGGTGTCTCCCGCCCTTGGGACCCCTTCCCCCACTCGCTGCCACCCCCAACCGCGGGGCCACAGTGTGGAGGTCTCAGCACACGTTCGGGGGTTTTCTTCTACAGCCCTTTCCGAGCCTCTTCCCCCCATCGACTGCTGTGGCTTCTAGCGCTGGGATGGAGAATCACAGCGCCTCCTCCTGGCTCCCTTAAACCCCGGGTTTGATGATCAGCCCCCTCTCTCTAGTCCAGTTAATTGTCTTTCTAGAGCACACCGAGGTGAGGAGCTCCCAACGCCCCCCCCTCCCCCCAGTCTTTCTTATAAATGCAGGTCCATCCTTGTCCCAAGGAGGCATGCTTCATGCATGCCAGGTTGGCGTTGCTTGCTCGGAGTTGGAAGCGTTCCCAGTGTCCCTTCCTGGCTTGCCCCGTGTATCTTGTTTGTTTCCCAAGCTTCCAATACTGGCCGTTCTCGACATGCCCTACTCCCACGTTCAGTGTCACCGGCTTTCCGCATGGGAGAGGTGTGGAAGTTAGCTTCACCTGCAGCAAGTCAGTGCTGGAGTGCACTCCAGAGTCCCCTTCCAGCCCTAGGTCTGAAGTCCCCACCTCCCTGTCCTAGTTTTCTAGTTGCTGTCACAGGTGGTGGAGGGGGCATAAAGGTGCTTTTCACATACAAGTAATCACCTGGGGATTGGGGTTTGCGTCTCCTTGTGGTCCCATTCTTCTCTCTCCCACCTTACCCCCTAACCCCTCTCTTTCCCCGTTTGCCCTTCTCTGGAGGCTAGATTTACTCCCAGGTGAATGCTTTTTCCTTCCATATCTGTTCCCATGTAGGAAGTCAGTGATAGACCATGTGGGGGTGGGCTGGGGGCCCAGCGTTCTTTCTCAGGCCCCTGACACTGCTGTTGCTGATCTCCCCTCGCAGGGAAGCTGCTGCAGCATGGAGGCACGCTTCACACGTGGGAAGTCGGCACTGCTGGAGCGCGCGCTGGTGCGGCCGCGCACCGAGGTGAGCCTGAGCGCCTTCGCGCTGCTCTTCTCGGAGCTGGTGCAGCATTGCCAGAGCCGCGTCTTCTCGGTGGCGGAGCTGCAGGCGCGCCTTGCTGTGCTGGGCCGCCAGGTGGGTGCGCGCATTCTAGATGTGCTGGTGTCCCGTGAAAAGGGTGCCCGGCGAGAGACCAAGGTGCTGGGCGCCCTGCTCTTTGTCAAGGGTGCCGTGTGGAAGGCGCTTTTTGGCAAGGAGGCCGACAAGCTGGAGCAGGCCAACGATGATGCACGCACCTTCTACATCATTGAGCGGGAACCGCTCATCAACACTTACATCTCGGTGCCCAAGGAAAACAGCACGCTCAACTGTGCCAGCTTCACTGCAGGCATCGTGGAGGCGGTGCTCACTCACAGCGGCTTCCCTGCCAAGGTCACAGCACACTGGCACAAGGGCACCACGCTCATGATCAAGTTCGAGGAGGCTGTCATCGCCCGAGACCGGGCCCTTGAGGGCCGCTGACCCCATTGGAAATAAAGGATGAGAGAGCTCCCTTCCCAAATGTGTCTTGTGTGGAAGCCTCAGAGATTCACTCAGCACAACATGGATCCCTGTTCCATTCTGGTGAGGGAGGCCAAGGTCCAGGCTGTTTATACCATGGGGAGGGCCAGCTTGGGCTTTCAGATAGGGTTGAGGGAGTCCAGGGACATTTGAGAGATAACCAGGCAGAAGGAGTTGCTGGAGTTGGGGAGATGCTGGTAGTTTCTGGAATCACAATTGGAGGCTATCTAGGCTGGAGGTGTGTGTGGTGGTGGTGGTGGTGGTGGTGGAGGATCAGGCAAAGAGACACTCCTTTAGACCAGGGACTAGCACACTTTTTCTGCAAAGGACTGGGTAGTGAATAGTTTGTGCCCAGTAGCAGGGTAAGGATTGGGTATGGTTATGCACCTAAAAAACAGGCTGACCACTGCTTTAGACTTGCTACTCAAAGTGTGGTCCAGGGACCAGCAGTCTCAGCATCTCAGGGGCGCTTGTGGGTAAAACAGATTCTCAGGCCCACCCCAGACCTACTGGCTCAGTCTACATTTTAGCAAGACCCGCCAGTGGGTACCTTTGTACCTTAGCTTGAGGGGCAGTGTGCTAGGGCACAGAAGATTAAAACCTGGGTGACTGGGTGGCACGACTGCCCTCCCCCAGTTTCAGATTCTTCAGGTTTGAGTGGGCTAGAAGATCTGCATGCCTAACAAGTTTCCAGGATCTGCTGATGCACCATGGGCTACCCTTTGAGAACTTTGGCTCTAGACACCTGGCTCTTAAGGGGAAGTGGGTGGACTTACTTCAGAATTGTCTGGATGCTTAAAATAGTTTGAAGTTAATTTCTAAGTACAAGACAGACACAAAAACACACATCTCTTGTTTAAAAAATACTACACCTCAGGCAACCCTTTCCCTTTTGCCCACTACCCTGAGACCCTAATCACTCCTCCACAAGGTAAATCCTGCCACTCTTGGCAAAATTTGTTCAAACTACCTGTTCCCTGATCCCAACAGGACCTGAACAAGTCTATTTTGAATGGAAACCTCAGGTGCTTTCAGCTGGGCCCCTCTCACTGCTTATGGAGGCTTTAAGGGTGGGATGAGTGCAGCTCTTCAATGTGCTGTTTAAGTGCTCTGTCCAGCCTCACTGTGCAGGATGGCATGAGGGGAGACCCAGGGCATGGGCTTGATTGGGGCAGTTTCAATTGTCCCAGCAAGAGATGATGAGCTAGGTGAGTTTCAGCACTCACAAGAAGGCAGTGTGTCACAAGGTAAATAAAACTACTTGGCATTCAGAGCCTGTAGCACAGGGGTGGTCAGGAAACAGCTGTTGGCTGGGGGAAGAGAGGGGACCCAAAGGAGTTGGGAAAGGGTGGTTAGGGTGGCGGCCTGAATCTGGGGTGGAGGGACAGTATCCAGGAGGACAACAGGGATTCAGGGTCTGGAGTCCAAGAGAGGTCAGGGATCAGCAGAGTTGGAAACCACAGGCCCTGAGGAAGGAGAGCCTGGGAGTGGTGGGAAACTGAATTTTGGAGGGAACTGCAGGGGTCATCTTTGGGTTTAGCAGCCTGAGGTCTTCAGGAGTCCTGGAGAGAGTGGCTTCCAGGGCCTGCTAGGGGTTTGGGGGCCAGATTGTAGGACAGAGGCAAGGATGACAGCCAGCTCTGTTCAGAAGCCCAGCAGTGAAGGATGCTAGAGAGAAATAGGGAGGGAGGAGGGGACAAAGGACTGTTCCCTAAGGGAGGGAATGCAGGAGAGCTTGTAAATTGGGAGAGGAGGGCCCAGGATCTGTTTCTCTCTCTGAGGATATGGAGGGACTGACTTGTAGAGAATGGAGCGGATTTGGAACAAGCTGTAGGATTGTGGAACTGGGCACACATTTGGGGCAAGGGAGAATGGGGAGAAAGAAAAGGCAGCTGTGATTCCATCACAGCAGCTTTGAGTTAGGAAGCCCCCAGGCAGGTGGGGGTGGGGTGAGGAAGAGGAACCCAGCACTAGCCCTTTGGTGACGCAGGCAGGCAGCATCCCCTCGTTTAACAAAGCAGGTTCCAGAGCAGAGATAATTTATTCCTGGCGTACTTGGGATGTTCTGGGGTCCTCATCTTCAGTTCTGCCTAGTAAATAAATGTTTCTTGTAATGAAGTAGGGAAAAACCCTCCCTGGGTTGTGGCTGGACCATGATCATGCACTGACAAATATTTATGGAGTTCCTACTATATGCTAGGTATTGGGGACACAGCTGAGAAAAAGACAAAGGTATCTTCTGTAAAGCTTGTGTTCTAGCCAGCAGAGAGGCAACGAACAGATCAGTAAATTCAGCATTTTGTTGAAAGGAGCAGTGTTGTGGTGAGAAAGTACAGTGAGGCAAAAAAAAAAAAAATCAGAGTTGGGGTGTCATTTTAAATGAGAGGGAAAGTGTGCTCAGGATAGGCCTAGCTGAAGAGAGTGTGTGTGTGTGGGAAGGGGGGGGGGGGCAGCATGTGCATGGGCCCTGAGGCTGGAATGAGCCTAAGAGTTTAAGAAACAGTGAGGGGGCTGGGGTGGTGGGAGGAGAGAGAGGAGATGAAACTGGGGAGGTGAGGTGTGTGGGAGGGATTCTGCGAAGGCAAAGCACACTTTGGGCTTTTTTCTGAGATAAAAGGAAATTTCTGGAAGCTTTGGGACAGTGAGGATGGGGGTTACACAAAGGTGACTGACTGCTGGAGGGGATAAGTGGATGGATTCTGAATATGGTTTGATGGCCAAGCCCATTGCTTTCCTTATGGGTTTGGAGGGAAAGAAGTGGCAAGGTGACCCCAAGGTTGGCCTGAGGGACTGGTAGAATGGAGTCATGAGTTTCCCACGTGGACAGTTCTGAAGAGAGGGTCTGGGGAGGGGAGCAAATCTGGGGGTAGGCAGCAGGCATAAATAAAAGGTGATCTGGGATTTCAACTCATGTTTCACTCCAAGGGTCTAGCTCTGTCCCTACCTTGTTCTGAGTCCCAGGACTCCCAGATGCCACTATAGTGCCCTCCCCAGCCTCCCTGGGTTGTGGCTGGACCTTGGTCTGGCCCTTGACCCCAGGAGGTCCAGTGTGGGCCTCTGCTCATATATTTTTCCTCCTCAAGTGAGTCTGAGAATCATGTGAGCTGTCTGACTCTAGGCCATTAATTGGGGGTGGGATAATCAGGCAAGGAGTTTAACAAGGGGTGTCCTGAGGTCCTGGTCTGCCTCCCTCCTACCTTCAGTGCTGAGCTGACCTTTGCCAAGTCTGGGCCTGGTGCTACCTCGTCCATTGAGTGGGAGTGGGGCTAGAACCTCTTGACCTCAACTAGCTGTTGGGTGACCAGGCCACCTTCCCTTTGGTCTCTCCAGCTGGCTGGCAGTTACTGAGCAACTTTTGTGTACTGGGCTTTGTCTGGACCCAGGTATTTCCCCCAGCATCCTGGGCAGGGAAATTAGGCTCAGTGTAGTCAGTCCACAGCTTTACCCTGCAGTATTCCTGGCGTACTTGGGATGTTCTGGGGTCCTCATCTTCAGCTCTGCCTAGTAAATGTTTCTTGTAATGAAGTAGGGAAAAAACAACTGTGAGGAGATACAAATGCCACTTCAATTATTCCCAGTACTCAGAAGTGGCCTCAGGCACCAGGCTCTGGAACTCCCAGCTCCCACCTTCCACACCTGGAAACCAGACCAAATGAGGCCCCTGAAGAGGGGCATCTGTGAGGGCCTATCTTTGCCCCATTTTATTGACACAGGCAGGGTAGAGAGGCCTGGCTGCCTGAGCTGTAGTTCTGTCCTGTGGTACCAGGACACAGTGGCTTCATCTGGGAAGGACAAGGCAGGGTCCACTCCTGACTGAAGCAGATGGTGAGGTGGGGATGATGGAGGAAGCACACAGGGGTGCTGGGTGGCCTCTGCTGCTCCCTGATGCCAGGCCTGTGCCCCATCTGGGAGGGAGATCCCAGCATTCAGGCTTTTATATGTGTAATGTGCTTTGAACAAGGTCTGGTGCAGAGTAAGCCCCCAAATATCTTCAGCTCTTATTGGTCTTGCTGCCTGTGCAAACTTGGCCCAGGACTCAACTTTTCTGAGCCTGTTTTTCCTCATTAAACTGGGGTCTATGATAGTACCCATCTCATAAGGCTGTGGTAGGATCAAATGAGATAGTAATGTATGCGAGGTTTTCAGCACAGTGCTGAACATAGTGGGTCTTCAGATACTAAATCTTTATCGGGTATTTACTCTGTACCAGGTCCTGCTGGGAAATGCAGAGACCCTGTCACCAGGCTTCAGCTACCTCTTCTGCCAATCTTTCCAAGACGTCTTTAAAGTTGCCTGACTTTTTATTTTTTTGATGTTTAATCCTTTTTTATTATTATTTTATTTATTTGTTTGTTTTTGTTACAGATGTTTCTCATTTTCCCCCCATTGACACCCTCCTCCCCTTCCCCTCCACTCCATCCTCACCTTTGTTGTTTATGTTCATTGGTTGTGCATAATGCATGTAAGTTCTGTGGTTTATCTCTTCCCTCACAAACCCTCTTCCTCTGAGGCTTGTCAATCTGTACCTCACCTCTGTGTCTCTGGGTTAATTTTGTTCAGCAGATTGTTTAGTTCATTATATTCCACAAATAAGTGAGATCATGTGATATTTGTCTTTCTCTGCTTGGCTTGTTTTGCTTAGCATAATACTCTCCAGGTCCCTCTATGCCATCTCAAAGGATAAGAAATCTTTCTTTCTTAGAGCTGCATAGTATTCCATTGTGTACAGGTACCACAGCTTTTTAATCCACTCATGTACTGATACACACTTGGGTTGTTTCCAGATCTTAGCTATTGTAAATAGTGCTGCTGTGAACACAGGGGTACATATATTCTTTCTGATTGGTGTTTCAGGTTTCTTAGGGTGTATTCCTAGAAGTGGGATCACTGGGTTAAATGGCAGTTCAATTTTTAACTTTTTGAGGTAACACCATAGTGTTTTCCACAATGGCTGCACCAGTCGGCATTCCCACCAGCAGTGTACTAGAGTCCCCTTTTCTC